GTGTCCCTGGGGCAGGCGCATCCCGCTGGGATGGGGTCTGCAACCTTCCCGGTGCCCTCGCACCCACCGAACCGGTGCAGAGCTGCAGCACGGACCTGCCCCTAAGGAGATGCTAACAGCTAGATTTAGTCGCCTCCATCTCGCTGGGGCAGGGGGGAACAAATATGGGCAAGCTGCATGGAAATAAACCCTTTCCTGCGAGCACAGCTGCGTTGTCCTGCTGCCTTTCTGCTGCTCCAGCCCAGCGTCCCGTTCCCGGCTCGGCAGGCGGGGTGACACCCCGGAGCCAGATCCACTCTGCAGGAATTTGCAGCAGCGGGCGGTGGCATTGTCACACAAAGTCCCCCGAGCCAGGCAGGGTCACCGTCACCAGCTGGATCACAGCAGCATCACGCTGGTGGATGTGACGGGGGGGGAGGCTGGATCATGCCACACGCAGCCCCAGCCCTCCAGGAAGATGAAATCACTTACAGGTGTTGGGTTTTAGGGGACAGGAGCCTAAAAATGTCCTTGCCTGGGGGACACCGAGCCCAAAGGCGCAGGGCCGGCACAACAAGCTGCTCGCTACAGACTCAAGTGCTTGACGAAGAGCCCATTCAAGCACATATTCCCCCAAAAATCAGCCCCGTATCTGCTACCGGTAGGCTGGGAACCCCCTGCCTGGAGGACAGAGGGAGCTTTACCACCCTGCCAGGGCAGGAGCACTGGGACAAGGCCGCTCCTCCGGGCTGGCACGGACGCTGGCAATATTCCCCTTGGAGCGCTCGGGAAGAACACAACGCTGAGACGTTTGCCCTCCTGCCAGGGTCACGCTCACAGACAGCTCTCAACACCGCCGGCCTGTTGGGTGACATATTTTAATGGGTGACTCACCAGGCTCAACCTCTGACCCAAGGCGAGAGGCCTAAAACTGCTCGAAAAGCAGAAAAACGAGCGTACAGTCACGCCAGCGCTAAGGGAACAAGCGACTTGTCCCTTTCCCGAGAAGGGGGACACGCAGCGAGGGCACCCGGGGTCTCGCTGGCTCCTTCTCCTCGTTAGTACTCCTCGTTAGCGCTCTGCCGAGGAGGGCTGCCCGGAGGAGCGGTGCGTTCGCTTGCTGGCAGGCTGCGCCGGGGCGTGTTTTTCTCACAAAGCTGAGGACAAAAACGCCGTTACGGAGCCACCCGGCCCTGCAAGTCCACGCTCAGCTGGACGCCTCCATCTCGATGACTTCCTCGAGGGGCTGGGTCTGCACTTCCACCTTCTTCGGGGGGATGTAGGAGCCCATCCCGGCGGCACGCTCTGCCTCCTCCTGCGTGTACGGTGCCTCTCGCAGCTGCTTCAGCCTGCGGGGAAGGCGGAGAGGAG